CCCCCAAAGGCCCGGTGGAGCAGTCCTACAGCGTAAAACGACCAGGATGCTCTTCATCACTAGCCTGGTGTTCATCCTGACCTGGCTACCTTAATACATTATCCTGGCCGAGTTGACTCTGGCACAATATGCCGGTGCATCAGTCAAAACCACACTTCTGGAGACATTCAGTGTGTTCAGTTTAGCTCTGTATTTTAACAATGCAACCAATCCGTTGATCTATGGACTGGCAAATAGACGATTCCGACAAGATTTAAAAAAAAAACTTTGTAAGATCAAACTTTGTTCAGATTAATTCGGCGGAAGGTCACATAGTTATGGTTACATGGCAGTATGTTTTACCATGAATTTATTCAACGACAATGAAAGAAGGTTGCAATGAACTGCTAGTGAACTGGAGTAAGTCTTGTTGAATACGGGTAATTCACAAGAGTGCGCCCTCTAGAGTTTGTGACGCGTTGACCAATCACAACACGCGAAATTTGTCGACCCTTTCCGAAAGCGCATTGGGTCGACAGATTTCGCGCATTGTGATTGGCCAACGCGTTGCAAACTCTTGGTGGCGCACTCTTGCGAATTGCCCGTATTATACCGTGAGTGCTACATCTCTCAAGACTTAGGATTATCTTAGAGAGTGCATATAGATCGAACTATTAAAACTAATCTGCGCGTGTCTTTACTTGACTAGTATAGTACATCGAACTATCCATAAGGCGGGCCTGAAATACAATTACAAACAGGATGTACATGTGACTGAAGTAAAAAAAACTTATATTAGTTATGCATCTTGGTTTGATTCTCAGAATGATGACAGTGAACAAACAATATCTTAAAACGATGATCATGTTAACTTCTACAAAAAATGACAAACTTTCATACCTAAATGACAGTAAAACTTGGGTATGCAAGTGGGCTTAGCAAGGTCGCATGGTGATTTGTTCTGAGAGAAAACTGAGGAAAGTTTCAACCAAGAAGAAAACAAATCGAGACTTTGAGGCGTGTCATTGGGAAAAAGATCAGCACCACGCTGGTATAAAAGAGCAGTCTCGTCCAGGGTTTAGGTAACTTTGAGCATCAAGTCCCTAAAGGCCCGGACTATTGAATAGGGGATTACAACAAGACTCCAGAAAAGACCTTTGTTAACCAGACTCTGCAATTTTAATATCACAAATGCTGTCTTTAATACTGCATGACACACCCTCTTCATTTCTAAAGGATAGTAGTCACTCAGTAACTTTGACAAATTAAAAGTAAAACGCTGCAGGACCTTAACATCAATAAATATTTATGCATGCCACGCTGAAAGACGCATTTCAAAACATATAGCTTCCTTATTCACGTATTTCAAATTGCGACTTTCTTCCTCAGCTTCTCTTTGTTCAAGTATTTTAATTGTCGAAAAGCAATGTCGTATTCAACAGCTTGCAGTGCTCTGAAAAGTTTAGCCTTTCCCGCAATACCGCTGTAGGCGAGCTGTCATTTTGTTCAACAAAAAGCGGCAAGGGATGGTGCAATTTATTTTCATTTTCATATGCATTCCTACTTCATGACCAGTCTTCTAATTTTGATTGTGTCAACCTTGGACGTTTTCAACAAGGCCTACTACTGATGTGCCAAAACAGACAAAATTTCATCACTTTGCGAATCCCCAAAGAAATACTTGCCTTGTCAAGACAGGACGGCAATATAGCTTTAATCGAACAGCCTTATTTTGACAGTGATTCGTCTACTGAAACCGTCGGCGTCATTAAGTGGAAAGGGTACACAGAAATGAATGAATGGATGAACCAAATTCTAATCAAAACCCAATTATCGATGGCTGAGGCTACACTGTCTCGTCAGTCGTAATCAGAGAGTATATATTGAAGTTTTGAAAAGAGCGTCATTCAACATATAGACTTATCATCTAAACATGGATTGAAATTGTAAATGATCACTTATTCAAAAAGAGGAAAACTACTTTATGTATTAGTTGCCGTGCTGGAAATGCTACCATGTGTCCTAATTTTTTGTAGTAAGTCGCTGCCGGACCTTCGCTCGTCACCCAGTGCCCGATCCCGAATGGGGCGCTGGGAGGGGCTGATGACCTTGCATAGATTTTAGTGAATGAAATACGTCACACGGGGGTCACAGTTAACGACAGGCACAGCATTGTGGGTAAATTTTTGCTCAATGCTTTACACAAGCGGCGGTTATCAATTCGATATTTAGCTGCTTCGGCTTCACTATTGTTGTAGTGAAGGTAGTCGGAACACAAATTTTGGCAGTATGTTTTACCATGACTATTTAAAGTGTTGTATCTCGTGAAGTAGGCCTACATGTCCGGTTGGGTTGAAACTTTGCAAATTGCTAGATAGGGAAGGGTTCAAGATTGAAATTCATTTCATCTGATGGCGGTTCATGGTAACTAGTCATGTCACATTTGTTGGGATGACATGGATGTTAAATATTCTGCGGACCAATGTTTGTATTGTTTAGTTCATATGCACTTGTCCTTAAAGCTTGTAAGTACTTCATCAAGAATTTCTTAACTGGTTTTTTTCAGGTTTGAGAAAAAATAAAACCAGGGCCGAAGAAAGTGTGTTTGTCCACAACACATTTCTCGTTTTCTGTTTCTTCCTCCTTGCTGAGAATATTCTCACTACACTTCATTCGTTCATCCAAAATTGATCAAGATAACCAATAATTTGAAATGTATCGCCAAAAGACACGTGATCAGTGATACTTGGTGAGAAGACTGTACCATTGTCATGTTTTTGTCATGTAGCCGACGCTTAGACTTGACCAAGTCGGGATCCTCTTTGACGTTGTCTGCGTTTATGCTTTGGATTTGGAGGCTGCGCGGCGTTACTTGCTTCAAACCCTCCTGTGTCCACTTATTACTGTACTGTGAATTTAGAAATCCCGAGTTGACGAATCTTGCAACGGTTTGTACTCAGCCAATCAGCTCATCTACTAACAGTGGTAGTCTTGGCCCAAGAGGTAAGTGGTCGATAGTTGTTTTATTTCTGTTTAAGAGCGCCCTCGCACAACTTGTTTTTACTTACTCTCACTAACGTCTTGGGAATCTTGCAGGAATGGGTCCGGGGGTGCAGCAGTTGTATGCAAATGACCGATCGTATTCAGTATTTGTAGCCTTGGTATTATAATTATGTACATGTACTTCGAAGTTCGAACAACATGGCGGCTTCACGCGAGCAAGTACCCTGTCGATAGTGTCTGGTTTGTAGGAAGGGATTAGTGACATGTTAGACATATTTTTCACTCCATGAAATTGCCACTCTTCTAAAAGAAATCGTTGGGGACTACAGATGTGCTACATCGCATCATGTTTGCGATATCTGAGGCAGAAAAATTGGGAAAACAAAATCGTTGTCTAATGTCTGACACCACGCAAGAAATACATTCTCTCTTTTTTTGCAACTCACAATGAGCATGCTGGGCCTGATGAGGCCAAATTACTCACACAAGCGACACCTAAACCTGCACGTGCAGCAAGAAAATGACAACCAACTTGCAGTCCGGGTACTCCGTCCTTGAAGGTTAAGGTCTACATGGTCTCTAAGGACGCTTTCGTTAGCTGGGGAGGACATACAGACTGTACATGATTATGGGTCACCAAGAACAGCATCCTCTGTCATATCCTAGGCCTAACCTAGTCTGAGTATCACCCGTTCTACTCCGTGCTAACTCTGTACGAACGTCTGTGCTGACGGGACTGCAGACAGCCATGATGCATGTGACCTTACCATGGTGTATTATTCAGGTCATCGGAATTTATTATGCATGCAATTTAGCGAGTGCTGATGGGGTCTCTTGGAAAGCCGAGGGAAAAAAATAAAGAACAAGTTAAAACGCTGCTGCAAGATTCCCAAGTCGTTAGTGCGAGCTGGCGCACAGTCTAATTGTGAGTCGCTAGGGGGCGCACTATGCACGGTGTCCGCTATCAAGCACTAACGTCTTGAAATCAAGACTAACTGACTGACGACGTATGACACACGTTGTACAATGAACCCTGTGCGGGCGCTGGGTGATAAGCGAATGCCAGACAAACCTCGACTCCATGGGTTGTGTGCGCGTTCTGTCACGCAAGGCATTGCGGGAACTAACATGTCTATCCAGTGGTGTTCAGCCAGGACTTATCGTGGTTGGGGAAGGGGGCGGGCTCAGACCGGAATTCCTCCCAGCTTCCCCTTGACGCTACCCCCAACCAGTTGCACCATATGGGCTTTTGATCGCTTTGTCAAAGGTTTAAGATGTACATTATTATCTTCGTTTTCAGAGAGTCGAAAAAATAAAGAAAGATAATTTCATTTTCCCGACAATGTCACTGTAATAATCTTAAATTCAATGGACAAAACAGAAAAAAACGTTACCAAAAACTGATTTTTTTTCATAGAGCTCATTTCTGCAGTGGCAATCCTAAAAGTTCAATACTGACCTTAACTAAATTCAAATATTTCCAACTCCTGCCATGAAAACAAAGATCACCTGCGCGCGGGCGCTCGAATGTTTCCGGCGTTTCTTCCTTGTATTGGCATTTGGGTCAATAATTAACCTTGATAGCTAGTGCCATGCTTTTAGCTTCACATACATCCATAAAATCATAGTATTTCATCTTCATTTTGCATTAGCTAACTACAGAAGTGCTCCTTGGTGAAATCTAAACACTAGCATAACATCAGTCAGGTTTGCCACTTGTGGGTTTTTGTCAGAGTTATTTCAGCGACATTTAGCCTCACATACTGGTCCATCGAAGTAAAAAAACCCGCACAAAGGTTTTCCATTTAGTTACCGTGGAAACCAATTCCATTAGGGCTCCTTTGACATCAACACTTCACTCTGGAGCGTCCAAACCCAGTACAGTCCATGGAAGGAGCGGTTCGAGTTTTGTTGTGCGCCAAAATCACCAGCAAGCACTTTGCCCACTGCAGAAATAAAGTCGTCAATCTTTATTATTTTGGGGTGTAGCCATGGATAATATCTCTAATTTTACCGAAATGTCCATCGGTGTATGGAAGGATTCGTTCGTCTACGACTTGTCGGTCGTAATTGTAAGCTCGTTCCTGATCCTTTTTGGCGTACCTGGTAACTGCCTCATCCTCCGTGTCTACTGGACCAAGACGCGTAAGACCAACACCCATATCTTAGTCATGGCTTTAGCCGCGGCTGACCTGGCCGTCTGCATATTACGATTCGTCTTTTTAACAGAGAAGGTCTTAGCTCTGGCTGGTGACAGCCGTCAGAGTAATCTGATCTTTAGTTTGTTTGACGATTTTGAGGATGCGATCGTCATTTTTTCAGTTTTTATCACGATGCTCATTGCACTGGATCGCTACGACTGCATATGCCGCCCACAAAGGCGTTTCTTAACCCCCAGAAGGAGGAAGATAGTCGCTTGTGTTGCATTCGTGCTGTCGTTTGCGATCACGATACCATCGTTTTTAAGTAGCAACAACCAATCGGAACCCGTCTTGTTCCAGACGAGGGTAGCATTAGATACTCTTGTTGCAGTAACGCTGACCGCGGTGGTCGTAATGTCTTACGGAAAAGTTTACAAGACCGTCCAGAAACACGTCAGAGTTTGTGCCGATTGGCCACCCACGACAGTCCAGGACTCATTATGGGTCATCAGCAAGTGCTCTGTAAATTTGCCAGACACAGCCCAACAACCAGGTGAATTTGCTGAGGCCAGTGTCGACCAGCCTATTCCGCGCCTGTCGACATACCCAGGTGTCGACAAAAAAGTGTCTCCTGCCTCCCATCATCCAGGCACTTCTCATTCCAAACAGGCAAAAACGAACAATGCAGACACCCCATCCAGTGATGCAATTCTCGATTTGTCCAGAAAACAACCAGCTGAGAACTGTTTCAGCCAAAACAACCAAGACAAGCCCAAATGGAGGGAAGATCAACGTCCTACTGGTAAAAACAATCAGCTCCGCCGACGGCGAAGCTTTGGGATACAAGTCCCCCAAAGGCCCGGTGGAGCAGTCCTGCAGCGTAAAACAACCAGGATGCTCTTCATCACTAGCCTAATGTTTATTCTAACCTGGCTACCTTACATTATCGAGGCCAATTTGATTCTGGCACTACGTACTGGTGCAGCAGTCAATACCGTAGTTCTGAAGATATTCAACGTGTTCAGTTTAGCTCTATATATCAACAGTGCAATTAATCCGTTGATCTATGGACTGGCAAATAGACGATTCCGACAAGATTTTAAAAAAGAGCTTTGTAATATCAAACTTTGTTCAGATTAATTCCGTGGAAAGTTACACGGAAGTGTAAGCTCCTTTTAAGGGGGTGGGTTGTAAATCAGTGTTGTTAAAGGTCTAGGTAGTGAATTTATCTTAGACGCACTTCTTGTACTTCGAACATTCTCTTATTCAATGTTCAGTAATACGTGTACTTGACATCCGTTAGTGTTATGTGTATCGAAAAATGAACCTTCTTAAAACTCTAAACCTGTCCATGTTTTGCCACACAATAAAGGACGTTGTACCTATGATGCCGCAAGGAAGGCATCATTCAGTGTTTTGGGCTTTCTTGCATTTTCAAATCCTTTCACAAAACAAGGAATGCTTCGGGGATTCTATAGGTGAGTGTAAAAGCGCATAGTAGGAATCCACACGGAGGACCCTCATAACATTTTTCCATTTTTCCGAAGAATTTCAAATCACTGTTTGAAGACGGCAGACTTGGCTGTCTGATCGATTGAATTAGATGATGAATGTGACATGGAAGGAAAATGGGTTGTCATCTAAACCAGTTGTAATGACTCGAGTCGAAGCGACTCCCATTCGAGTTCCTAGACTGGAGTCACTGAAGTACATGATTTGAGTGCAAATGACATTGCCTTGGTAAAAATGCTTATACGGAGCCCCCCAAACGGCTATACGATTAGAGCAAACTCAGAATTATAATTTCACAATTCATTCAATTTCAAAATATAATTTAAGTTCTTTATTTCGTGCACTCAAAATCATCCTATGCGCTCAAAATCGTAACTGCACTCGATCTTTTTTTGCCATTTTCCACATAAATCTTCGCGCAGAACAATGATAAACAACAGTTAATTATAGTCTGAAAAGATAATAAATCTTATCACCACTTGACTTTTGCCTCAGCTCAATTCGTCACTGTCAGTTTTTTGTATATACAATAAGAATTGAACGGGATTAATCATGGATTTAACTTGAATTCACCTCAGTTACCCTGGATACCAACCCGCTCATTAACGTTTTAGTGGCATTATAGACCTGCACTTAAATGTGGCTAGAATTATAATGACAATACACAGTCAGCCGTTTGGAGTTCATGCATGCACAATCACCTCCAAGAAATGTAAATACATGTATAAGAAAATCATTGTCACTCTCATCTGAACCATTTCACCGATTTTGAAAAGGGTGTGCCACAAGATTCGTTCGTGCTCAACTTGTTGGAGGTTTCACTCATGTCCGTTTTTTTTGCGTGTGTGGTCCTTCTGCAGAATACCAAAGAGTGACTTCATTTTGAACCAGGAAGTTTAGTGCAAACCATAGACACTATGACGCCCACGGTGCAAACATTGATCTCTATTATAAAGACCAACGGGTGCAAACAAATGGGGTACCCATTGGAGTATCTCACTGGAATGCACCCTTCGGTACTGGGTACTCTAGAGTATCGACTGGTTCCCATCCCGTACGTAGTCTCCAGACGTCTTACAGACGTCCTCCGAACGTAGGGACCGGTAGCGGGTAATGAATCTAGCAGAATTCTGCCGGGTGTATGTAAATGAGGAAACAATGCCCGCTCCATGCACAAATCAAGCAGGAGACGATAGCATTTTTTGCCTTTTCTGTTTCGTTACCTAAAATAACGTCACCATAAATTGTCCAGATATCTAAAACGTAACACATTAACCACTGATTTGAAATAAATTGATTTATCGATGATAATCACTGAAAAATAAAGGACCACACTGTGATCAACAGAGGCTTAGCAAGGAAAGGTACCGGTGTTTTATTTGCCTCCCTGCTGACACGTATTTCATGTTGAAGCAATGCTATTGACCTGACAAAAATTTTAATATTCAGCATCCAAATTTTCAGGGCTAATCGCACACGTAAACCCGCGGCTAGCTCCCTGTCACTATATAATAGTGACAGGGAGCATCTAAGAGGTCTTTTTCAGTTTTGCCGGGTTTTCCCTGACATTTGTCTACTTGTGAAGGGTGAGAAATATCATGAACGCTGTAATGAGAAAGTATCATGCAAGAAGGAAACCGCATGAATGAGAACGGGAAGTTTTTGTTTGTGCCTTTCTAGTGGGGCGATTTGACGTCATTGTACGTATTAATGCAACGCAGTAAAAGTTGACTCGTACCGAAACGCACTCGTATCCAGGGGTATGTGTATGTATGTGTATGCCATGCCCCAAATCCGGACATCTCATTTTTGACCGCTGTCGGACTCTGTGCGGAAATTTGAATCCGCACGAAAAACGAACCGCATTTCAGACAAATGGCTCTTGATCTTGAAGAAAGGAACTGATGGATACAAACGATTCATCAGTCTTCCAGACAGTATCGCCGATGACCCGAGGGGGATTCGACATCCGCCTTTGTGACGAAGTACAGTCATCACTTACGAACCGGATATACATAAAAGGTAAGTTCGATTAGCTTTACACGTGTAAGTCAAACTTCGACGAGAGCGTTTGTTCAGCCACCACGTGTGTGTAGGGAAGGGGCGTAGTCATACAGGTCGCCTCTACGTCTAAGTCTGGTTGAGTGGAGTACGGCCGCCACCATGAATTATGTTTTCTCCGGACTGTTCCCCAGGTTTACAAGAAGTGTAAAACATAAAGTTTTTATGGCCAAGAAAATAAGGCAAACCGGTCTGTGCAAGCAAGGTTTAAGGAATAATTGATTGATTTTATCCCTTTGCTAATGGGGCGGGGGGGTTCCCAGGATTATTCCCAAAAGATTGCTGCCGTAAATTGGTCTTTTTAACGCAAAGAGTGGATGAGATTAGTTATCAGCATTAACAGGGCCACTGCACACTCTTTTCTTACTGTTTGATTTTATACAGCGTCATGGACGAACAGTGTGTTTGCTGATGTATTTGAGTACCTTTTTAGCGACAGCATGGAGAGATTATTAGGTTAATGCTGTTTTTGAGACACTGGTATAGATTCCAGCGTTTACACAAATCAGAGCTTCGACAAAGTTTGTGTGAAGTTCGCTTCATTTTCAGGGTACAATACTTAACTAGGAAGTCGTCACTTGTCCCATGCAAGGTCACGAAGGTGGTTGGGTAACAATTGTCAATACGTAACTCGCCCGCGGGCCCATTAGGCTGGTGTCTCCCAGAGAGCGGGAGTTTTAAATCTCCGTGTCCGGAGCCAGGCGACGCAGGGGCTCGTCAGTGTATATTGTGGTTCTTGTTTCTAATTCACTAAATAATTTAATGTATACCGGTGATAATATGCCGTCCCACCTGTTTTTTTTCCTCTGTGTTGGGGGGAAGCAGAGAATATTTTCTGTGCCTTTCTTCGCACTTCATCAGTCACCTTTTCTGGTTCTTTTATTCATGTATTTCTTTATGACAACCGATGGCAAAGGGTCCTTGTCTGTGTCCTTGTCCCTCAAGCCAGTGCATGATCGGAGTAGGCAGATTCCAGTTTAGGTTTTTCTGGTGTGGAATTCCATGCCTAACCGACACTTCTTAATTTTGTTCCTCAAGGAGTTCACATTGGGATTTAAATGTTCTCCACATCTAGTTCCTTTTTCTCTTCTTGTTTGGATAGTGGAGAGCAATAAATCCTCGACCGTTCTAGGTCATCCTTTATATTTTGTGTCTTTTATAGGCAATAAGGGGGTTGGTTAGGAAGAGCGCACTAAGATATTCATCACTGTCGATTAATTCCCAGTTTTTGAGAAGGGCCTGTTTTAAAGATGAGTGTCGCACTTGCGGATTGTAGGGCAAGACAAAGACAAGTGGAGTCTCGTTTTCTTCATTTCTAGTCTGCCTGCTCAAGTTCTTGTGAGTTTCCCCTTGCTGAGGGAGCAGGGACAAGTCTTCGTGGGAGTATCCACATTTTATGTGTTTGTCCCTGAAGAACTCAACCTTCTCCTTAAAATCTTTACTGCAGATACGTTTATATCTCGTAACTTCTCCCTTGATCAGTCCGCCAAATACTGACTTAGGGTGGGCTGAATCTCGAGCAAGATACTGAAATGTATCCGGTGTTTTGGTAGCTACCCGAGTGTCCAGTTTCCCTTCTGTTCTAAATCGTTTGCCTTTGTATATGACGAGATCGAGGAAAGTTACTTGGTCGTGCGAAATCTCTGACGTAAACTTAAGCGTAAGGTGAATTAAAGATTTCGGGCAGTAATGAGTTCACCGGCTTTGCCTTCACTACTGTCAAATATTATAAGGACGTCGTCTCATGTAGCTCACGATTGAAGGGTTGCGAGGGAGAATGATTTCTTTCTCATATTTGTACAGGGTTATGTCGCATATTTCCGGACTGCACTCGCTTCCCATAGCCACGCCAATTTTCTGTCTGAAAACCTGCTATTGAATTTGAATATATTCCTATGGGTGCGTTCGATTAGCTTCCCTGAATACACCAGTGTTACACGAAGGGAAGCCTCGAAATGAGGGTAATCGAACGCTGCAGTGTACTTGCCAGGGCATTCTAGGAAAAAGGTCAAGTCCCCGCCACGTTCCATCATGTACGTCCATGCACGAACAGTCCATCCGTGACGTCATTACACTCGGGCAGCCTCCAGAGACCCGCTCGCCAGCAGGGGTAGTAGTGGCTGACACCAGGGCAGGCACGAGGATCACGTGATGGCTAAATGAACGCTCTCGTGTAAGTTTGACTTACACGTGTAAGCTAATCGAACGCATCCTATGTATGATAAGTTCTAACAGACAGCGTGCGCGCGCTCTTGTTGGTTTCGGTACAGCAGACAGTCTGTTATCGGCCTCTTCAAGTGCATCGAA